CCCCTTCCCCTGCCTGTGCTCACTCCACAAACGCACTGTGAGCTGTACACACATTCACCACGTTCCTTATTTACCAGCAAGATTTTATTCAGCTCTTATCTTGTTTGTAGGCAGAAAAGGATGAGAAGGAAAATACAGTTATATTCAGGTCAAGCCCATCACAGATTGCAACTAAATTGTCCACTCAGAAAGACGGCTCGGAGCCTACATCTGGGGCACGGTTCTGATGTCTACAACCACTTCTGTCTGTAAATAACTTTGCCATTAGGAAAAGAGAAAGCAGCCCGCAGTATGGGCACCGGCATGCACCGTACAGGTATTTATGGCATACGTGGTACCTGCTTGTCACCACAGCACCAAACTTGACCTGGGAGGTTACTACAGCACAGAGTGACTCGTCCAGTAACTTTCAATACCATTTATTCCCACCTGGGCGGTAGTAATTATATATGGCAGCTTTCACACGTTAATTACTTCTTATGAGAACTCTTCTCATAACTCGAACTCATAAAGTTAAATTATGTGTATGTATATATAGACTTATCTACATATCTATATATAGATGCACAACACATACACATTATTTTTCTATCTATCTTATCTCCTGGAAAATTAAATAGACCAAGAAGCAACAAACATAACCAAGTTAAATTAAACATTATTAAAATTTATGATGGTTCCTGGTCAGCTAAACACAGTTGCAAACCACTGTTGTAATATAGCAGAATTCCAATGAACTTAGCTGCAATAACTTGTTCTTTCTTCACAATCCATCAAAACTTTCTTGGGAATTAGCCTGCAACATACGGACAATAGAACCATATATCTTCAGCAATAAGTTCACTAAAACAGCCTCAGTGTTTTAGCTCCAATTTCCCTGATGCAGTAATATTTTACTGGCTCTCCCGTTAAGTGTTTTGGGGGAATACTTGGGGCATTCAAATAAATGCTTTGGCTAAATAAAAATAAATCTCTAGATTCAAGCATGTGTTTTGCTTCCTTGGTTTTGAACAAGATGAAGTATCTCAAGCCTTCTCAACATTGAAAAACCTTGGTTCATTGAAAGATTTAAGTTTGTTGTTTGTTTTTCTTTCCCCGAGTTTGAATTTTTAAATCTAAATAATTGCAACATGCAAAAAACACAGAATCTAAAAAACCTTTAGTTTCAGCATTGCTTTCAAAAGGAGATCGTATATATTTAATTTCTTTGCTGGCAGAGATGTTACTTTTCATATGTTTGGCACAGTAACGGTGTGATCAGCTATGTCTTAGGATTTGGATAAATGAACAAGTGCCAAAGGATGTGCTCCGAAGTGTTGAAGTGCAGTCAGCATGCAGATTTCTGTCTGAAATGCCTGGCACTACTTTCTTTCACTTGATTCTAGAAGTAATTATTAAAAACCATGTGAAATGCATTTTCAGACAATTGAACTTAGTTAACAGTACCCTTGCCATGATTCACTGCACAGAATGAAGAGAAATGCAAATGTACTGCGCTTTTTAATGTTAATTTTCACACAAGCAAAGCAGGGAAAAACAAACAAACAAACGCGTTGGCACGTTTCATTATGCCATACCCAGAAAGGAAGATGTCACCTACTGGTATCACTAAGAATTCGGTTTTTAAAACATTTTATAGCAAATAAATTTTGCTGTTCTCCCATCTGGCCTGTATCCTCCCAAAACACAACTATTTCCTGTCTCATCATGCAGCAGCACTAATGCTCCAGCATTTCAGAAGAGCTAGACATGATGATGGGGAGACCTGGATATGTCAATAATAAATATTTCCCTTTTAATCAGTATCAGAAAGTATTTTTAAGAGACTACTTATTAATAATACTTCATTATTTTTATTTTTGCTCATATATACATACGGTGGCAAGATGTGGTGGAAAAAAAAAAGTTTCTCTAGCAGTTACCTAGAACATTGTACCCCTAAATGCTTCAGTGCATCCAAGGAGGAACAAATGCTTGCAGTTTGTCTGTCCCTGATACAAGCATAGCAAGTTTATTTCCTCTTTCTGTCTTCTAAATGCACATTACTTCCTGTACATCGTACCATATAAAAACATCTAAAATATGTTTTACAGCCCTGAATGACAACTATCAATGCTACAATAGCCTAAGCTGACCTGAATGCTGTAACCTTAAAATAGTTAGAAATATCTTTTTAAGCTTTTCTTTACAAAAACAGTCCTAGAAACTGGCATGCTGAATGGAACACAATCCACTTATAAACAGGAACTGGACCCAACACAAGAATTTGGCTGAGCAATCTGGAAGAAAAATAAGAAAATCTTCACCTAAAATGTACTAGTTAGGAACTGAAGAACCAGATTTGTTCTGAGCTGAAGGAGAACGCGGTACCTTAGAGCTGCCCATCTGGTCTGTTACACCTGAAAGGCACTGAATGATACACGCTCGCCTCTGAATCAAGGGAGCTAACAATCCATATCCAGACAAAAAAACAGTTTAAACTCAGTGCTTGAGAAAGACCTACACAATTTCACCAGTTTATGCCCATGAAATCTTCACCCCGAGTTTCTTGGGCACGTTTGTCCAAGCACTAAAGCTTAAATGCATATTTCTATTCAGTTTCATATAGCATTAAAGAAATTTGGTCCCTAAATGTTTCTTGTTTCAGTTCCCAAATATTTGAAACCCTACAAAAGCATCCTACTTGCAGATACATCAAATAAGTCAAAGGTCAGGAGTTCATCGAAAACATAAGCCAGACCAGCAGTGCTGACAATTGACACAGTGACAAGTGAAGGGACAAATACAGAAGATAAGAAGGTACAAGATACTTGGACTCTTATTCCTGTGCATGAAGGAGGCTAAATGCATAGTGAAGACCGCATGCTATTCGTTCCTGACATAGGGTAAGCACCATACTGGAAGATCAAAACCCTCATGTATACTTGGCCAGCCACAGCCAACCCTCCTCTTAACTTTCTTGAGTTTTAAATGCAGCTTCTGGGGTTTAATCTGCTCTTCCAATTTTCTCTGCTTTTGTGTTTGCTGTAAACTATTTACAAAGCTTGACAACAGGGTGAGAGAAAGCTACAAACCTATGAAGATATGCCTGTGGAACAACTGAGAATTGTGAGCAAAATATTGCTACTTTCCAGATTTGCCATGACAGCAATTTTATGTGTATTTTAACACAGCACTCACTAACAACAAAAAAAAACAAAAACAAAAACAACCCTGAATTTGCAAACACACACAAAAAAAAACACTTCTTACCAAAAGAATAGGTCAGAAAGTAATGAACCTTTTATTTCCTCAGATACACAGACTGATGGAGTATCATTTCCAATTTCCATCCTAAGAACACAGTGCTAATGTATGCCAAGCAAAACTGATCTTCAGACACATCCCCCTTATTCTCATGCTTAGCTGTTCTCTGGAAAAAATTCCTTACGGTGTTTTCAACACCTGCCCCTTGACCGTCATCACACACCTTTGGAAAACAAGGTGGTGACAACTGAGAGTTTGGTTTTTAACATCCCTTGTGCTTTCTTCTGTTATCAAACAACGCTGCCATGTCTCAGCAGAACTTGAACCCACACATTCAGAGGTCAGAAGTTAATGAAGGAAAGCAGAATCTGATAAATAAATTACAGACCATATCAGGGCTCACACCTCAGTTGGCTCCTGACATGGTTGCATCCTTGTCAGACTGCTATAGTGAAGTTACAGGGGCCTCTCTCTTTTGGCTTTAGGCTTTTAGGAAAACTTAGGAAAAAATCTAGTAAAGTTCTTGTTGAATATGCTTACTTTGATACCATTCGTACCTGAGATTCAAAGGTCTGCTTTGGCATTAATAAGCATTCAAAATTAAATGATTTTTTTTTCACTGTACGAACTCCTATGCAGGAAAAAAAAAAAATGGAAATCATATTTCAGGGTGCTGCATCTCCCAGTTAAAAATAAATAAGTAAATAATGCAGTACAAAGGTGAAATCACCAACACAGATTCCTTTCTACCAGCCTTGCTGTGTACCTCCTCAGCAATTCCAGCATGACATTGCCTACGATATTCAGGTCCGCGCATGCCCACAAACCAGTCCTGCAATCTCAGTTCATTTTAGAAGCTCACCTGCCTACCAGTGATTCATGCAAAAAGGCATAACCAGAACTAGGAGGAGGTAGTACAGATGTACCACTTTCATGGTTAAGCCACAGCCCCTCAGATTGTTCCCACAGTCTCATGACCTGCCTTAGCTTTCATTTGAAAAGGAAGGAAAGCGTTTACTAGTTTCAGCAGAAGTTTGTTGTAGCTTTTAGATTAGTTAATACCACCTTAACAAATCATGGTTTAAGAGACATTGAATACTGCCTGAACGTGGTGATTGATGTTGGCCTACAACAACTCAGAAAAAGAAGAAAGGTACCTTAGAGTTTGGTTTTGCAATGAAGGTCACTTAAGGGTTCACTGTTGTTTCATACGTCAGCGGCTGCAGCGCAGCACTGGAAGATAGAGAACTGTTTTCTAGTCCTACTGCAGATAGCCTGCGTGATCTCAGGTCAGCCAGATAACCTCCTCATATCTCACATCCAAACCACAAATCACTGTTTTGAGTCATTTCTGAGAGAATAAATAAACCACATTTCACACGTTGCTCAATCTAATCTTTTTTACCTCACAGCAGCCAATGTTAAAATCCAGCTCTCCTTTACACTAACTAAAAACACTCCTGGAGGCGCCGAACCACCTGGAAAATCCTTTCATGCACAAACTTTCTCAATTCACAGAGGACAACAAGCATTTAATGCTGACATTAAACAGCCAGGGTCTTTCTCCAGTAACTTTAACAGGAACAGCCAAACTCTCAGGCGTCATTCACTGCAACTGTTTGCAGGCCCCAAACCAAAACCAGTCAGCCAGTTTTCATTCACATCCACAGTAAATCACAAACCTGATCAATTAGGAAACACATAGGGCAATTATTTAAAACTCCCACCCTTACTGATAAGGAAACTGGACTTACTTTCTGATGAAATGAAGGCTGTGATCTCCCCAGCAGCAGCACTGAGAGCTACAGGCAGGCCGCTGCCCGAGCCTGACGAGGCCATGAGGGGGTTAGCACCAGGTGCCCTAGTGACTTGTCATTAGGAACTGCAGCTGTGTGGGGAGCACAGGTTTAATGGGAAGCAAGTGGTCCTGCACACACAGAAGAGACGAGACACTAGACATTCGTGCCTAACTTTATTTTGTTCCCAGCTAAACTATTTTCTGTTAGCAGATGCTCCTCCGGGTCCATTTATTAGTGTGCCTCAGAGTGGTGGCTCCAGCTGCCCACTACAATATTGTCTGTGTGCTCACCAGCACTGGGTATAGTCCAAAGCTGCAACACAGCAAACACTCATCCTGTTTAACCTCACATGTAATCCCACTGAGATCTGCATATGAGTAAAGTCAAGCAACCACGAGAGCCCAAGATCAAAGTTAAGCCCAGCCTGAACTGCCCAGCCCATGCTGAGGCAGCAGAGGCCTACTTCCAGCAGTTGCCTGCCTGCAGTCGGGGCTTTTTCTTTTTCCTTGTAGTCTGGCTTGCACTTTAACCCAGAATCTGCCCATAAAATCCAGCATGGCAATTTTGCAAAGTTTAATTGTAGCAAAAATCATAAAGGCTGCATCAGTTGGTGCAATAACAGATGTTTTCTAAGGTGCCTTGAAAGCCCAGAAGGAAATAAGGCGACAGCTTCTAGGAGCGAAGACACCTCAGGAACATGAAGAATGATCACCATTTTTTCATAAAAAGAGGATCTGCATAGCAGAAAGAGAAATAAAAAAAGTTTTAGTGTGATGTTCTGGAACTGCTCAGAACATATTGTTTTCTAGCTGAAAAAAAGTAATTGCCCAATATCTTAATTTTTGCATATATAAGGGAAGCTTTGTACAGAATTCAAAATAACTTTCTTGTTGTAGAAACAGGCTAGAAACACATAGGTCAACATCTCTTGTTAAGCCTTCCAAGTAAAACCACATGCAGATTTTAGTTTGTGTGCATTTCCTCGAGCCATTCCAAGGGAAAAAAAATTATGGGGTAAAGGGAAATTTAAAAACACAAGTCCAGCTATATAACTCCCAGAAATTATCAACTCAAATGAACTGACCGTGTCACAGAGTAACCCTCAAGAGGTGCTTAGTCACACTGCTAAAGGAGATGAAATGGAAAATATGGTAGGGCTGAAGACACCCAAATAAAAATGGAGCTATATTCTGACAGACGGTGGGTCACGAAGCAGATGAAGACACACTATACTTCACAAAGACAAATACAGTTCTTGAATTGCTTACAGACTGATTCAGGCAAACATCCACATAAGTCAATATACCAAAATCCACCCAAACTCAAATCTTGACCTCGTCTGTTTTCCCTCTTTATTGCTGAAGTGTTCAGAAGGGGCACACGCAAGTGTTAAAAAGAGGGATATTTGACAGCAGGTTTTGAATGCGCAAGATCCTTCAGAAATATGATAATACTTGAGAAATGATTTCACCAGGGAAACCAGAACATTCTGTCCTGAAAAGCTGGGACATGTCATTTTGAAAATGTTATTTTGAATGAATTTAAATTAATTTAAAAAAAAAAAAAGAATGAAAGAAAAAAAAAGAAAAAAAAAGGCTTATTTAAAGAGGTAAAAAAAAAAATCCTGAAAAGACAATTAAATTTTTAGTATCAGTTTAAGCAGACATTTCATTCACGAGAACTGAGGCTAAGGGATGAGACCTGGGTCTCCTGCTTGCAGGCAGGAGCACTGGTGGCATGGCAGCTGCTTTTGGGGTGCTGGCAGAGGCCTCCTCCCTCTCCCAGACAGGCAGCACTGGCTGTGCAAATGCCACACACTGCAGCTGTAATGAAAACCAGGCCAAACATGCAGAATTTGAAAAGACAGATGAATATTTTTCATGCCAGCTTTATCTTAGGTCATGCCACTGATGTCAGTACCAAGTGCTTCAAGGACGAGGATGGTCACAGCCCCCAGTAGGCTCTGTCTCTGCAGTGCTGGCACAGAAGGAGCACACACCAAAGGATTTTCTGGCATACAAGTTCTCTCCTCAAACTGATGGTCTCCTTACAGAACATCAGGAGAGCTTAGCCATGTCGTAGGCAGTTGGGTGCCCTGTACAGGATCTGACTGTGTTAAGATTAGATCAGGCTAGGGCTGAAGGAAGGGCAGGAGGGTGATGGAGGACAGCAGCGCTGTCTGAAATGAGGGATCTTGTGCTATAGGTGTAGGACAAGCTGGAGCAAGAACTGTCAGGAAGTAGGACCGAGACAAGTCCTCCGTGGTCATGGTTCAAAGCACCACTCAATAGCCCAAAACAGCCAGTGGGGTTTTCGTATGTAGTTGATGGGCAGCAGGCCAGGCTCACAGGCCAATCCTTGTGTTTAAGGAGACCAGGTGTGGTCAGGCAGTTATATCTGCCTGCCCCACTGCAGTCTAACAGGGCCTGACACTTAGTCACAGACACCAACACGCCTACACACCTTCACAGGAGCTGCCTGTGCTGCCGAGCCCATGCCGAGGCTTGAGGAAAAACCAAGTGAGCAAACAGCAAGCACAGGTGTCCCTGGACACCTGGTCTGAAGGAATCCACAGGCAAGGGATAGAGGGCTGCCTTGTCCCGAGCCCTGGAAGAATGATGGAGGCACTGCCCACGTGCCCTGTGTGGAGAGGACAAGACATGGGGTGCCTAAATGCTGTATGGGTGCTGAGGATTGAATCTCTGTGCTTGAAATTGCATGTTCCCAGCACACCCCACAGGGAATATATAAAAAATCACTAACAGGAAAAAGGGGACTTTAACAGGCTGGAATAATAACTGATAAGGAAGAGAGAAGCTGTTGCAAGGAATACAGTGTGATAAAAGAGGAAAGGGAAGCATTTACGGCAGAGAGAGGTCTGGAAAGCTCAGGATAAAAGCAAGCGAACCAGCCTTATAGAACTGTAAACAGCCCTGAAAGTGACAGTTTGGGCACAAATTCACAGAGGGAAGTCTGTAGGGCAGATCTTAGCAAAGCGCACCTACTTCTTAGGGCTACGTGGTCTTAAGGCATTCCCCAAAGTTTCCTTATCCAGTCAATCCAGAGAGAGAGCTGCAATTAAATTCCTGACAGCCAGCCCATGAAACAGGGCAAAGGGGCATGTGGAGGGCACTAAACTAGCAAGCAGGAAATGCCAAAGAAATGTCCCTGAAATAATCTTTCCCAGGCTGAGAGCTGTAAACCATGCAGCTGTGAGACCCAAATCATCACAAACATGGAACAGCTTTCTGCACTGAAGATCCTACCGTCTGTATGAGACTGATTTTTATTTTTTTTTAAATGTTGCTTTCATAAAATGGGCTAACGGCTCTCATAGTCCTTTAGGTTGTGGAAAACCAACATTACTGGCCCTCTGTAGCGTGAAAGGATTCAGCTCTTCTCCTCAGAGGGTACTTCAGTGGTTCAGTCGTAAGCAAGTAACCTCCTCCCTTGAAATCCTTCCCTTGCAGGGCAGCAGACCGTGCTTGTACCACCTTCCTCTCCTGCTCCAGGCATGCCCTCTCTAAAGGGCAACCCAGTTGCAGAAGATTTGAGCAGCAAGTCTACTCCTTCCCTGTGCCTTGAGTAGCAAGTACACTTCTAAGTAATGTGACTTTAAGCCTCTTAGAGCAAGAAGCAGCACTGGCTCCTGGGTTAATGCCCTATTCCCTCAACTGTCAGAGAGCAGGTACCTTTTCAATTCTGGAGTTTTTTGGCTCACACACGAGTGTAGTTGCTTGACTTCCTATCCGCAATATAGCTTGCTCCTTGTTCAGGATGTAAAATGAAAGGCAAGATTCATGAAAGACTCTGTAGAGACATCAGTGGAACAACAGAGTGGAAGACAAGTACTGCTGGACATAAAACAGCACCAGAAAACCAGCTGAGGTAGCCAACACTGAAGGTGTAGTGAATAGAAAACACAGGGGAAGCAGAAAGGACAGACGCTATACACAGCTTCTAAGAAAGAATCAACAGAATTTCACAATGTTGTTTACTTTATTCGTTTTAAGTATGTTCTGCTCCATTTCCATGCAAGATCAGTCTTTGCCAAACCTCTGCTTCCCATGGGGCTGTCTGCTGGTTGGGTCAGTTTATTGTTCACTGAGATATTTGGGTTACCCAGAGCCAGTGGTGAGATCTGGAAACGGTCCCTTTTGTATTTAACGAAGAAATACAAAAGCTGCTGTTGATTAGCTCACATTTCTGACTGCACATTTTTATATCCAGCTTGATATGCTGGATGTTCTCAGCATGATTCATCTGGAAAAATAGCAATTTAATGTAGAAGGGCATGTTGGAGCAGGCAGAAACATTTCAGGGAAACATAGATTTAGTCAGAGGATTTAAATATCAACATACAGAAAATGATCTGTCTTTGTCTGGATGAAGAATACTTTTACAGGCTAGGACTCTTAAAAGTAGTCAAAGGGAAGTAGGCATCCAAATCCCACCAGATTTTTTCAAAGCTCTTTTAAAAATCCCATCCTGGAATGTGAGTATCAGGCTAGACTAATGGATCAGATCCAAACATGCATAAGTGAGGGTAGCCTCAATGTGGAATCATGAAAAACAGGGAAAGAAAATACCTCATGAAGTCATCTCGTTTATCCCCCTGCCCCAGGCAGGATTATCTATACCTATATCATTCATGACAGATGTTTGTCTAACGTGTTTTTAAAGACCTCCAAAGACGGAAACTCCAATATTTTATTATCCTGTTAGAAAGCTTTTCCCTATTGTTTAACCTGCATCTTTCTTCCTGTAGCATAAGATCACAACTTTCTATCACATAAACCATGGGCTTTTAGGAAAGACTATTTCTGTCCTTTACACAGTTTGATTCTACCTTCTACATACTTGGGGATTATCTCTGTGCTATCCAAAGGCTTCTCTTGTAAAAGCTGAGCTATTGAAACTTGATTAGCTCTTACCTCCTTGGTCATGTTTGAGACCTCCATAATTATACTCAAGGCTTCTCCTTTGAATCTTTCCAACTGGTCCACGTCCTCTCAAACTGCAACACCAGAGAAGTTCAGCCGAGTTTTTTTCCAATGCTGAGAATAGCAGAAAGATGGCATATATATCAGGTATATCTCAATATATATCAAGCAGGCTACATTGTTCTTTGTGCGTTTTGGTATTCAGTATTGCACTCCATCTTTTTTCTCCTCAGCAGCATGACTTTTTTTTGACTCATTCAAGCCACAGAAGAAAACCTTTCCCAACTTAGAGTTCCCCCCCTCCTTCTTACATGCTGCTTATCCCAGCTGTCCACCTCATTAAGCAATTTTTCTTTTATAGGATCTCTTACTTCAAATCCTAGGTAGCAAATTCCAATTGACTTATTATTTAAAATAGATCTAGCTCCTATGGAGCTTGCTCAACTGCCAACGTGGTGCACTGTGAACAGAACACTTAGCAATTATAGAAATGATCCCCTCTGTTTCCTTCCAGCCTGTACAATTTGTTTAAAAAAAAAAAAAAAAAAAAAACGCACACAAAAAAACACTAGAACGTAACAATAACCCTAAATAGACTATACAACATCAGCCAGTCTCAGTTGTTCATTATAATCATAACCGGCTTGTAAGGTTTCAGAGAAGGTCATGTCAGCTATTTAGGAAATTAGCATGATGTTAAACGTATGTAGTTATTATTCTTAATTGGCAAGTTTGATTATCAGCTGTAAACACAACCTGATTTTAAGCTAAAGAAACCTTGCAATGAAATTCCCCTGCTAGATAGTCTGCAAAGAGAGATGTTTTCAGCATATGCTATGTTTAAGCATATGAACTGCTGTTCACGTTATCATTAATCATGCATTGCAGTGGATGCAATGTATGCAAATCCTATATTTACAGTTCTCTGTTAATTGCATGGTGCAGACAGAGCCACCCTTCTCAGGGCTGGGAGCCTGGGATGTGTGGGCTGCAGCTTAGCACCAATAGCCTGGCCAAATCAAAACTGGCTAATTTGTTGTGACTGTAATTGGTGCTGTTACATATTTAATAGCCTCAGTTACCAGAACATTACGTCTCGGTTTCTGTGTATATTTCCCAGTATAGACAGTCATATATACATTTTAATTTCTAAATATACTGCATTCCCAAAACCTACTCTAAAATAATATAATTGTTATAAAATCATGCTTTCAGAAACTTTAAAGTACGACAAGCTTGTCTGAGGAGACTGGAGAGGGTGTCCCTTTGTCCATTCACGATAAAAACAGTCCCTGTGTATGCCTGCAGAACCTCTGTCCCTTTCATGGTGGACATTTCTGGAGCTATTTAATACAGACTAATTTTATTTTATTTTTTTTTGGCTACAGTTTTTACACTACACTAATTACAAATCATATCTGAAATATCTTATTGATTTCCTCATGGATATTTCCAGCACCACAGATGGACATTTTTAAGGCAGTCAAACACCAAGTTCACCAGGAAACCTAGAGGAGCTGGGCCGTAGGCATCCCTGCAGCTTTGGGTACACGGTGCTACTGTCCAGCTCCCGCTGATGCCAACTGCCCGCTGTCACCATTGTGACTGCTGTCCCAGGGCAGGAGCTGTGCTGAGTACACAAAGCACCGAGCAAAGGACCAGGAGGCTCCAAATCCGCACTGTAGGTCCTTTTATTGTGCATTTGGAGCTTGCAAACAAAAATGACCATGAATAGAGCTAACTGGGATGGAGGTGGACTAGCACGGACTTCCTGAATTACACTGAAGAAAGCTCAGCTCCACCTGTCACTACACACTGGTACACACATGACCCATGGGATGGCAGCGTGGCTGGTGGTGGTCAGGGCAGCTGCACTGGGGCTCAGGGGAATTGGGCACAAAGGTTTTGAACACAGACACCTCAGCTCTTTCCAAGCTCCAGGTCCCACACTAGCCACCATATGCCCCTGGGAGGATGGTGCCACTCGGTACCCATGAAAAGATTGAGTAACTACATAGATGAGTAAGAATTGATACTGCTGAATGTTGTGTCATTCATTGGAAATCATTCTAGCAAATGATCTCACCATCCTAGTTGCCATTCACCTTGCTAGACTTCACCAACAGAGCAGAGGCTCGTGAGTGTTTTTTTGTTTGTTTCTCAAGTGTGCATGTTCCCTCCCTATGAGAATATCCTCCAAGTATCTGAAGCTCCGGCTGCAGAAGCTGTTGTTAACTTGCAGAGACCAAGGCTTGTTATCAGGCTTAAAGCAAAAAGTACCCTCAAGTCTGTTCTAAGACACCAAGCACATTTGTTTGCCTACTATGTTTTTCAATAAAGTCCAACTGGCCTCACAATGAACTGGAATTTCAGTTCAGCTGTCCATCCAATACTCAAAAGCGAAGCAGGCTTTTACTGAGCACTCACGGGCCCTCCCAGGCCCCTGCCCAGCAAGATGTGTGCAGCGCTGCTGGAGACCTTAGCAATGCTCTCCAGGCAGGATTAGATAAGATGTGAGATTTTGCCTGCATGAGTCAGCCACCTCACCCTGTTTCTTTGTTAGTGACTTTAAGACCTTGTCTCTACTTGAAAGATATACCTGTAAAACAACAGTGCACATGGGACTGAGCTTAGACCAGAGCCCAAAATGAAGTTATAACAGGAAAACCTTTTTCTTTTTTTCCCCAATGTAACCATGCTTACAAGGACAGTTACAACATCTCAAGAACTGTGTCCTATGACCAGCATAACTCAGCAAACATTTCCGTGTAGATCAGGTCAACTGTGCACCCAAGCTGTAAAAACACAGGAGGAATCTACACAGTCATTCATTTTATTTACATTAACAGAGACTTCAGCCCTATAGGAGAGATTCTTATCTACCTTGCAAGGTCAGTGCTGATTTGTGTTACAGACCAATTGAAAAACTAAACCCTACTCCCCTCTACTCTGCCCTAACTGTATACAATTAGGACTGAACACTGAACATTTTCCAAGTCACACTTCCAAGTTAGAGTTACTAACCCCCTGAGACCCATAAAATTTTTAAAAGTTCAAAATACTTTTTTTTTTTTTTCAATAGAACTGTCATTAGGTGGTTTTCAATAGTGCAGCTATTATAATGTCTGAAGAAATGGAAATTCCTGTACTTGATTTGTACCCGGTTACGTACTTCAAAATTAGAGAAGTCCTTTTGTGTGAGTGTTCAGGCCACTCATAGCAAAACAAATAAGAACAGACACTCCTATGAGTCCCTAGAGATATTTGGAGTCCATAGGTGCATATTACCTTATTTGATACTTATTACAATGGCACCTTACAAATGACAAACTGAGTAACACGAGCTGGGGACACACAGGAAGCCTGCAGCTAATCAGAGAGCTAAACAACACCCTTGGTGTCAAGATGTTAAGGCTACTGGGCACTATTATTTTCTAATGCAACCAGCATTTTCCAGCTGTCTTGTATTTGCAGGTACGTTGCTTCAGTGTGGGTGAAACAGCCGAGCATGTGCACTCCCCGTTGTGTGGCACAATACTCCTTGTGGATCTCTTTTTGATTCAGAACCGAAGAGCTCTAAGTCTTCAGTATGTTGCCATTTTTTATTTTTTTTGTATATATTTCTCTTTCCTCTACGACAGATTTCAGGAAGTTGCTGCTGTCTTATTACAGCTTATTCCAAGCAGACTCGTTATATCATAGTAAATGTTTGCACATCTGATCTTGACACTTTTCAGGATTTTTCGATTTACCACCAGGAGGTGCAAATGATCTTCCCAGCTGCACCACTTTGGTGTTCATTGCAATTACCAGCTATATTCAAGGTAGAAAGAGCTTTGTCTATTCTTTCACAGGATTTTTTTTCCTTATTTCCTCCCTACTTGCGGGCCATGAAGGCTTTCAGAGCACTTACCAAATGTGATTTCCTAGCCTGTTTTGGATTGAGCTTTCTCTGGGAGTCAGCTCTGCGTTGCTGTTGTTGCTGGCAGAAATATTTGGTAGTACTTACACATTGGAAAAGTGCATACACCACACCATGGCAGTTAAAACAGATCATTTCTATGGGTGATTTGTTATCTCCCTGGCAAGAGCTGACTGCAAGCCACACAGTGAAAGCCAAGGACCCACCAAATGCCTGGGATCCACTTCTCTAGTGAGTCTGCAGCCAGAGCTGGTCACAGCCCCAAATTATCGGCAGGCAAAAAGGGAAAGAAAGCCCTGTCCTTCTCACCCCGTGCAGACGTGAAACAATAAGGATGGGTGGGGTTTCTGTCCCAACTGCACGTATATTCAAACCCATATTTAAATTTAGCCCTTGTGAGAACTGGCATCTGAACCGAACCCAAAGCTAAGAGAAGGCATTTCTTCCATGCAGAAGCAGCCAAGTATGTAAGATATAATCACAGGGTAAGGACAGGCTCTCAAGATGAGGTGGTCTCACTGGACTTCCAGTGGAGATTGCAGAATTTTTAGTTGATCTAGCTAGTTTCCACCCTTCTAACTATGGAATGTTACAGCAGCAGCTCAGATCTGAATCACAGAAACTCCCTAATACTGACTTGTTTCCAAATAATTTTCTCTTTACCCTTTACACATGGGTGGTGATCCAGTATTACTGCAAGACCAAGTGCGCAGGCCACTCAACAGCACTAAAATAGCCAGTTCCAGCACTGTTGAGAGATACAGTATGTGCAGTGCTAATATGTGTCCCATCCCACCTGAGCAACCTGACCTCCAACCTCCTCCACCTATTTTCCCCACAAAAGTGGGCAGGGTCACCTGGATATTCTCTCTGCCTTAGGAGTTAAGTAGCAGAGCATTAGAAGTAGGTCACACTCAATTGTCTCCCTATGCAACAGAGAGCCCCATACCTTGTTCTCTCTGGCAGAGCTGCTGTGCCCAAGTTCCATAAAAAAGGGGCACCAGCAGGAGAGCCAAGATCTCAGAGTGTCACATATCACATGCTGCAGCCTCCAGGGTCACGTCCTGTCTTCCTCATGAGACCACTGCTCTGTTAGCAAGAGAAGAGAGAGAGGAAAAAAGATGAGAGAAGTCAGAAGCTTATAGGTAAGTCTATAGAGAACATGGTCAGGATTAGTTTGCATCAAAAGCAGTACTTTGCAGTACTGTTTTAATATTTTATTTTTTATACCATGAAAGTGTTATGCATGTTTCCTCTACCATTTAGCAATTGGCCAAGTGGAGCAATATTTGAAATTTCTCTTTCTTTTTCTGCCTCGATAATACCAAAATGAAAAATTCAGAAAAGGTTCTCAGTCCCAATGTACAGAAAACTTTGTTTAGGTTAAAATAACATTATTAAAGGGATATTTCCACAGCAATTCAGTAGTCCACTAATGGCTGTGTACCTACGAGCCTGGTCCCTACAAACAGCAACATGTATAGCCCTGTAGTTAGCTATCTGTTCTCCAGTTTTGAACTTGGCATATGCTCTATGTCAAGACTTCAGCGCATAATCAACAAGAAGGTATGGATTCAGATAAAATTCAGAAAACACTAAGGAGAAAATGAGTGTATCTAAGCAAGGGTATCTCTAATACTTTCAACTAACTCTACGCTAAACAGCTCCTGATGACTTTCATCTCAACTACCATGCATGCTCCTCCCTTTCTTCTAAGGGTGATCTGCTGACATGCTGAAGGGCTTCTTTCCCAGACAGCATGAAATACCCAAGTGGCCAAGGAAGGCAGGAGTAGGCTCATACTGCTGCATTTTAGAGACAGCTACAGCAGGCCCTAAACGTGGGGAAAGAGACCTGAGATACTGATTGAGGAGAAGAGGGACGTGAAGTCAAAATGAGGTGGAAAACGAAGGATCACAGTTTGGCATTCAGAAGGAGAAAGAAGAAAGGAAAACAAAGATAGAATAGGAGAGAAGAAAATTAAAAAGTCACTCAGTCTCTCTGGACTGCAGCAGACAGCATCACTGTAGGGGGGACAAGTGAGGAGAAAAAGGGGATCGAGGGGCTCCAAGGGTGCGTGCCATGCACAGCCCACAGGCATGGCAGCAGAGGGAACGCTGAGGGTTTATTTGCTTTGCGTATGCCAATTACCAATGCCAAGGACAAACGAGAAAATTGCACATTGACAAAAAGCTTAATTCCCTCCTCATTAGCAAGCAGAAGCATTGACACCAAAGCATGCCGCTCATTAGCTCCAGTTATTTTAACAGTAAATCTTGAGTTATCAGAAGAAAACTATGACAGCATCATTGAGCATAAAGGAATCTAAATTCACTTATTTGCACCCTCCAGCAGACTGTAAGTACAAAATTGCAGGGTACATTTTTTTCTAAATGTGACCTCTAATTGAAAAAAAAAAAAAAGATTATTTTCTAGTGCTGAGATTATTGTCTAGTGCTCAGCTGGGAAGGAATTAAATAGGATCTGAAAAATAGTTAATTAGAAGGGCATGCTGCGGTTGGCAGTTCTGGTTCCTTTTCATCCGTTTTACAGCCATACTGTGAATCAGGAACATCAAGAACTGCTGAGAAATTATTTGCGGAACATCTTTCACTATCCACTGAGCCATATTCTGAGATCTCTCAAGTCAAAAGGATTTTTCTCATTGACTCCAATGGTAAATCACATAAACATGTTGGAGTATTTAATTAATATACATGAGGTGCACAACGCAGGAACAACACGAGCATCACTAAGTGGTAACCAGATCGCTTAAATTGATATCCCTTTGCTCCTTCCTTGGTTAAAGAGGCTTGTGAAAGCTCCCTAGTCAAAAGGCACTGAAGCAATACAACAATAGAGGAGGGAGACCAAAACACGCACCCCAGCTGACCCACAGCTAGACCAGCCATAGTAATGGAAGTGCTACAGCTAAAATAGAGGTGATTAATTTCTACCTGGCCAGATGTCTGTCTAAGAATGCATCGCTTATGAGTAGTCATCCTTTTGCATTAGTGTAATGCAAAACAGTGAGCTAAATGCTTCTGATAATATGTTTCCAGATCTATGTTTGGATTACAGGAATATCAGGAGTAATTATAGAGAATTATCTCTAGCAAGAATTCTGATGGTCAGTTAGGATAAATACAGCACAAATGTACAATTCTTATATATTGGAAGAATGAAACAATATCAAGCTTCAGCTTTTTAATTCTGGGATAGACTTACTGAATTGCCCAGCTCCATGTCATACCCAAAGACTTTCTAAGCATCACAAAAAGAAACATGCACTCATAACATGAGCCAAGGCTAAGCCTCACCTGAGCCCAGAAGAAATGAACCTGAAGGTGCCTGTTGGGTCCTTTTCACCTATACTCCAACCCTAAGATGGACCTGTGCTGGCAGCTGAGCTGAGCAAGCACACCTACCCCAAAGGCCGTATGTAGCCCTGGCAGCATTTAAAATGCTGGTTTACCTGCAAGGGAAGCTCCTCTCCAGAACCAGAAACCAAACAAAACCTTGGGAACATGACACCCATGTATTCTGGGACAAGACAGCAGCAAGGTATAATTTGAACCAGTTGTAACTTTTCAGATGAAGTTAGAAAACATTTTTTTTTTTTAAATATTGCTCTGGAAATAAATAAATGTTTAAAGAAGTTGGTGACCATAATGATGGCTGGATTTCGAAAAACAGAACAGAACACAACAGAGAGCATTTGACTCTTTTCACAACAAACAGCATGTTTCTAATCATCAACAACAAATGCAAGCTAAGTATTTCAAACCACAACACCAAAGAGAATAAAACTGTACATGCTAATGTACAGCAGACTGTGTTGCTATATGCCCATCTCATCTGTTGTCATGCCAACTTTCTTACTTGTTACCAGCTTCTTTTGTTTGTTTGCACTTTTTATTTGAAATACCTTATTTTTAAAATCACCCAGCAACTCGTATTTAGCTATCCATTCAGATTTCCTAAGAAACTTTGTTCCCTTTAGAGAGCTTAGTGAAATAATCAGTTATTTTAGAGTGTTTAACACCAACAAGCATCACTGGGGAAATTCAATTTGAAAACTTTGTACCCAGATGGCTTTCCTAAAGAGGCAGTTTAGTATTTGGTGGCATTCCCACTCCCCTACTCTTTTTGTAATACAAAGCTAGAGAGGAGCATGATGAATACCAGTTGCTGGCTGTACCGTGCCTGCCTCTTTTTCTCCTTAAGGAAAGAAGTAGACTGAAGAACACGAAATATGAAGTTGCTGCTGTCTGCCAGGCTGACAGCCTGTCTGCCTACAAACCTAGTAATTCATGCAGTGCGTGCATGATGCAATATTAGCGACTTTTGCTTTTAGTGTGCAGTTAGCATGCAGTTTGCTTTAGTGTGCAGTTATAGTCACGTGCAGAATGAATGCGTGGGAGATTCCGATCGATGGCTGCCACAGACTCATCTTGCTGGGTCTCATTAGCGAAGGCCGTAAAAACAGCAACAAGTGAAAACGAGTCAGAATGAAAATGTATTAGAGCCTGCCATATTTTCAGTGCGCAATTCAATGATTTCCCACTTACGCCAGGGAGGAGACTCTGCAGATGAGGACTCTGGAGGCCACTCAGAAATTATTCCTGGCTCTTCCCCAAACTCCCTGTGTGATCTTGTCTAAGCTAGTTTATTCTTCCATACCTCAACCCTCTGTGTAGCTGTAAAATGCACCCTAAGTCTCTCTTGGCAAAACAAAAGTACAGCGCTTAGGTAGGATTAATCAACTGCACAAATTCAAAATACAGAGTGATTAGCTAGGGTTAGACCTGTTATTTTTCGTAACAGGTCTTGGAGGTTGCAATGGATCACCAGCTGAGCATGAATCAACCATGTAATCTGTTCTGAAAAAAACAAACACCTCACTGGGACACAAACTGGAGCAGAGCATACAGATCATGCAGCAATCCTTCATCTGCCAGTACACCCCAGCTGAAGATCTGTCATCCTGTTTTGGATGCATTTTAGGAAAGATGAACCACTAGAAAGACTTTTAAGCAAGACGAGAGAGGGAGACCAGAGGCCCAGAACAGCTGACCTATAAGAGCCTGAATTAATTGCTGTCATCTAGCCAAAAAGAAAAAGCAAGCTGAAGAAAGGAGGACTAAAATAACAGCGCTCCAGGTTGTTGCAAGACAGAGCAAATAATCTCTTTTCTGATATCTTTGGTGGTTAGGAAAAGAAATAAAGAGCTTCGACTGCAGTAAGAGAAATTTATGTTAAACATGATGGGAAAAAACTCTGTGACAGGAAGGGTGGTAAAGCACCAGAATAAATTGCCCTGGGAAGCTGTGGAGTGTCCATCTTTGGAGGCCTTTAAGAACGACTTATACAAACATCTTTTAGGAATAACACAGGGATAGTTAATCTTGCCTTGGGGCAGCATGATAAACTCTGATCTTTCAAAATCCATTCAGCCTGTTGTTCTGTGATAATATCTGTGCAGCTGTCCTGTGTTTGTACAGTACCTAGCCCTCTTCTTTCTTCCTGAAAGACAAACAGTAATTACTAATTAGCTTTATAATCATTATATTTCAAACCATAGTTTTATGCAACTTACACAAACTATAGCTTCACTTTAAACAAAAAAATATGTTCTCCCATTTCCCTACTGAGCTACACTACATTAAGAATAATTGTTTATTTTTCAATGCCATATCTGCAAAATCAATTCACATGGCTTTACTTGGTAGTAGGAAAAAAGCTCACTACTGCATTGCACACAGTCTTTTTCATTTTCACATGCTCTACTGTGCTGGAAAAAGAAAAAATAAAAAGTAAATATAAAACTTCCTCAAATATCTATTCCACTTCTTAAAAACTAAAAATAGCAAGATTCACAACTTCATCTTTGAATATCTTTTTGCCTTACCTCAGTTAATATGAAAATGACAAGACTGTAACTCTGAATTAATGTAACTAATTAATTAATCTGGGTGTTGTTTCACATGAGATTTATCATTAAAAAATGAAAAGAAAACCACTCCATTCTTAATATGTATATTTCAACTACTATTTAGACTCTTATATGCAGGTGAAGCTGTCATCAT